ATGAAAGGCGATTTTTCAGCTGTTCTTTTCTCAGACGATTCTCATGTTATCCTCATTGGGACAGACAGACGGGGCAAAGGTTAGACGACTAATGGCGGGAAACCTCTTCATAACTTATTTGGAGCTGAGATGATATTTTGGCATCGGAATTACAGGTGATGAACAAAATGAACGAACGACGAGATTTATGTGGTTTGAAGATGATTTTTATTAAAGGAAGATGTGAAGACAAGTTTCTTAAAGATGACTTTTATTCCGGTCTGAATAAAATCTGGTTTCAAAAACAATTGTTTGATGAAGTGTCTGGCTTGTAGATTCGATCTTAAACCGGGTGAAATCTTGGGGAAAATTCGGAAGTATGACATTTTGGCGAACGATAATTTGGTCAGCAAAGATGAAATTTGGAACGGGGCTTGGAAAATGTTATACAGGACAGAATGAAGGCAAGAGGGACAGAGGAAAACAATTCATAGCATAGTGAGTGGGCTTTGAGTAAATGGACGGTTTAGAAGAAATAACAAAAAGACAATGTTTATTAGGAAATTGTGGAGAGACATAACCACCTACATCTTGAAGTGACACGACATATAGAAGATTCTGCAAAGATGAAATTCAGAAATATATTCTGGATGCTGTGTATTCTGTTTTATATGAAGAGATGCAACAACTAACAAAATCTATCTATCTATCTATCTATCTATCTATCTATCTATCTATCTAAGTCTGTTTATATCTATCTAAGTCTGTTCATATCTATCTATCTATCTATCTATCTATCTAGGTCTATCTATCTAGGTCACTTCATATCTATCTATCTATATAGGTCTGTTCATATCTATCTATCTATCTATCTATCTATCTATCTATCTATCTGTTAGTCTGTTCATATCTATCTATCTATCTATCTATCTATCTATCTCAGTATATTCATGACTATTTTTTGGAAATGGATTAAATCTGATTATTTTATTTTAATTTATTTTGTTTAAACGTTATTTTTATGGATAATAATTATAAAATATCCTGCTGGAGGTCGTAGATTTCTAGATAGATAGATAGATACATATGAACAGACCGAGATAGAGATAGATAGATAGAGATAGATAGATAGATAGATACACACACACACACACACACACACACACACACACACACACACACACACACACACACACACACACACACACACACACACACACATATATATATATATATATATATATATATATATATATATATGAGCGGACTTAGATAATGAACAAAGAAAGAAAGAAAGAAAGGAAGGAAGGAAGGAAGGAAGGAACTGACTGATAGTCAATATTTCTAGGATATGCAAGCACTAGACTTTGGAGACAAAAACAACTTTTACTTTTCTAATCAGTATATATATATATTATTTCAGTATATATATATATATATATTATTTCAGGCCTTGTTTGATCGTCCTACGTGGTTAGGCAGGTGAAAAGCCAATAAGGATTCATCATATAGGATGCAGATTCGAATCCTGCTAGAGGACGCATATTTTTCTGAATATTCAGGTAGGTAGATGTAGTTGGATAGAAAATACTGTTTAGTTAGAAAAAGAACTTCTACTCCATTATGACTATCTATCAAAAATATGTTGAACATATGGTTATATCTATGTAGTCCAACAGTAAAAAGATAAGTGCTATCTCACTTAAATTGATGCAGTCTGGACACCACGTTCACTCGAACTATGAAAATATTTATAGAAAAGACAGACGGAAGCCATGTCCCGTCGATGGGAATGTGGCTGAAGTCGAGCTGCCAGGTCAAGATCGATTACATTGCAGATACTTCTTTGAATTTTGCCAAGAATCTTGAGATATAGAATGCAAATAGTATGCTTACTCTCAGATCGAGTCGGGATGATAGCTTTCGTTAGATGCAGTGTGTGTGTGTGTTTAGCAGGAGATAAATGTGCCGTGACCCTTCAGGACAATTTCCTTTCCTTTGTTGCTTTTAATAAATTTTGTCTCTGTTATCTCTCCTTAAACACTGCACTGTCAAACTCAAGCTCCACAGGTAGGTTATGCCTTATTTTCCTCTGCCCCTCTTGCCGTTAAACTGTCATGTGAATATCAAACTTTCCATTCCCTCTTTCCTCATTAGATTCCTCGTAAATTCAACTCTTTCTGATGTTAAGTAAAAATGTCATTTTTGTTTTCATTATATCTAATACGTCGTTGTTGCTCACAAGTTCGATCCATAGCATTCTCAGCATCTTTCTGTAGAACCACATTTCTGAACTCTCTGCTATCTAGGACAGATATTACGTAACAGTTCAGTATTCATTCAGTTCGAATTTTTTCTGTTACTTAATACTTTGCTTAGCTTTTGGAAAGCACCTTTCTCTATCCCTATGTGCCTTCCGTCCACTGTTAAGATATTTAAATTCTTGTATTGTTTGATTTTGTTATCCCCGATTTGTAATTTGCATGTTGGGCAGTCCCTTTTGCTAACATCCACACATTCTGTTAATGCTGATTTCTTTTCTCTTTCTTTTACTACTTTCTTAGGAATGTTTGTACTTTTATTTCTGTATCTGCTATCGACACAGTTTGCATATCCTATGTTGTTAAGATTGTGGCCACTAATAATGAATCCTAGTAGAACTTCTAATTCTCTTAGAATAACCTCACTGGATAGGTTGAATGTCCAGTGCATTTTCATATAAACACATATAAACATCCATAAAAAAAAAGTAAATCAGGTGGATACATTTAAATAAAATAATTAATGAAAAATCGTGAGAAAATAAGAGAAAGGGGAAAGAAAAGGATTTGCATGATTGTATAAAAAAAATTGCTGTCTAAAATAGAAGTTGCAACATTCATTTTTCAAAGTGTTTTTCTGTTCATATCTATCTATCTATCTATCTATCTATCTATGTAGGTCTGTTCATATCTATCTATCTATCTATCTATCTATCTATCTATCTATCTAGGTCTGTTCATATCTATCTATCTATCTATCTATCTATCTATCTATCTATCTATCTATCTCAGTATATTCATGACTATTTTTAGGAAATGGATTAAATCTGATTATTTTTATTTTTAATTTATTTTGTTTAAACGTTATTTTTTATGGATAATAATTATAAAATATCCTGCTGGAGGTCGGAGATTTCTAGATAGATAGATAGATACATATGTACAGACCGATATATATATATATATATATATATATATATATATATATATATATATATATATATATATATATATATGAGCGGACTTAGATAATGAAAAAAAAAAAAGAAAGAAAGAAAGAAAGAAAGAAAGAAAAAAGAAAGAAAGAAAGAAAGGAAGGAAGGAAGGAACTGGCTGATAGTCAATATTTCTATGATATGCAGGCGCTAGACTTTGGAGACAAAAAACAACTTTTACTGTGTTTCCATTTTCAAATGAATACATATAAAGAACTACAAAGAAAGTAAAGGAGGTGGCTAGTTTTAAATTAAATAAAAAATGATTAAAAAAAACGTGAGAAAATTAAGACAAAAGGGAAAAAGAAGAATCTGCAGGATTGTATTAAATAAAAGTGTCGTTTGAAATATTAGTTGCGACATTCATTTTTCAATCTGTATATTGAGTTTCCATTCCATTTTCAAATATACACATATGAAGGACAACAAATAATTTTTTTAAGTTGTAGGATGTGGTTTCCATTGTTAAATAAACACATGTAAAGGACAAAAAGTAAAGTAAATGATGTGCCTATATTTAAATTAAATAATGGACGTATAAAACGTGAGAAAACTAAGAGACGGGGTGGGGTGAGAATAATCTGCATGCTTGTATCAAATAAAAGTGCCGTCTGAAACATTTGTTCCATCCATCTTTTTTCAATGTGTTTCCAATTTCAAATAAATAAATATAAATGACTGTTGAACTCGCTGTGCTTCGACGTGCTTTTGACGTATTTGTGAAGGACACTAGAATACTCCTGACTTTATACTTGTTGTAAAACTCTTGCACGGTGGCAGAAAATTTACCCAAATTGAAAGGAGTTTGCTTAAGCCAGGTATGTATCTGCTTACCCTTCAATTTATACATTGATGATATTCTCAGAGAATTAGGAATCCTACATGCATTTATTATTAGCGACCACAATCTGATAACGATAACATTGGACATTAAGATGACAGTTTTGATAGCAGACATAGAATAGAAACTACAATAAATTGTTTTCTTTTTGTGTTTAGATTGAAAACTATCTCATTTGCATATCTTATGTTGTAAGATTGTGGCCGCCAATAATGAATCCTGGTAGGACTTCTAATTCTCTCAGAATTACCTCGCTGTTTAAGTTGAATAATTCTGGTGGCGAAAACACATCCTTGCCTTACAACACATTCTATTTTTATATATTTACTGAATTCATTTTCTATCCATATGCAGGCGGTTTGCTGCCAGTATAGACTCTGGATTATTCTAATATCCTTTAAACATATGAATTTCAGCGCACTACTAACTTAGCAGCAACGTCCTATCGATTTACAGTTGAAATTGACTTGATATAACCGTAAGTTCTATGCTAAGAGTTTCTTTTCTCGCACTTCTTGCTTGTGGAACTCTTTTCCGTCTTCGTGCTTTCCAGTCAACTTTGATCTTCCAAAATTTAAATGCAATGTCAATCTTTATCTACCGTCTTCCTGATTACTCTTCTATTGTTCTTGCTCCTCAATAATGCTTCTGATTTCTAATTCCCATCCAACCTGTAATTCCTTGTGTTCTAGTCGCTTTACTGCCTTACATGGGGTGAATTTGATTATAAAAAAATATCAAAGACCCCCAGCAAATGTCGTCTAAAAAAACCTTCCTCTGTGCATATCACGACTTATAAAATATGTCCACCTTTTCAAATAAACATGCAAATGCTGGAAAACGATTTAAAAAAAAGAAGGAAAACGTTATTTGTAATTAGTGATGAAATATCCCTGGTAAAAGGAATGTTAATCCCTAAAGAATAGAAGATCAATTGTCCTTTCTTCTCGCCTTCCTTCACTACCTTCTGTAGGAGTTTTTCTTTTCCTTTCTATGTCTGCTATCAACACTGTGTCATCTGCATATCTTATATTGTTGAGATTGTGGCTGACAATAATGAATCCTGGTAGGACTTCTAATTCTCTCAGAATCACCTCACTGTATAGGTTGAATAAATCCTTGTTTTACACTTTTTTCTATTGTTGTATATTTACTGAACACATTTCCTATCCGTATTCAGGAAATTTGAGGCCAGTATAGGTTCAGGATTATTCTAATATCCTTCCCAAATATGTCAAGATTACTCAGCAGTTCCAACAATTTTTTTTTTAGTTTTTTTTTTTTTGTGTGTCGTACTTTGTGATATACATACCGCTTTTTTATAATCTATAAAACACAGGTACATATCCTTCTGCATTTGTATTGCTATTTCTGGTATCATTCTGAACATAAATACTGCATTCCTTGTTCCAGTGTCTTTAACGAACGTGCACTGTCCTTGTTCTTGTTTGATTCTGCTGCGCGCTCGATTCATGAGAATTCGAATAATAAATTTCGTTATATGGCTAATTAGGCTGATTGTCCGATGGAGTTCACATTCGTTTGCAACTGGTTTCTTAGGCAGTGACATGAAAATAGATCTACTTATGTATTATTGAATATCACCACTGTTGTAGATTTCATTTATTATGCCAGCAATCTCGTCTATGCCGAAATCATCTAAGACTGTCAGGATCTCTATTACAATTCCGTCTGGTCCTGCTGCTTTGTTTCTGTTCAATTTGGCCAGTGCTGATTCCACTTCAGATTTTAATTTTTCCTGTTCATCGATATTTCTGTGTATTGCTGGTAGTTACCTTTCGTCATGGAAGTGTTCTCCTACGTATTCGTTCCATCTCTGAAGTATTTTTCTCTAATACCATTGTCCTTTGCATGTCTTTTGTCCTGCTAGTTCTCTTATATTTTTATGCATATCAGCTTAATCTCTGATATTAATTCTTTCTATTTTTGCACATTTTTCGTTGACCCGTTCCCTTTTAGCTTTCATGCATTTGCTCCTTATTTCTTTGTGTAGTGTCCTATATTCTGTGACGTACCTTGGCATTATTTTTTTTTTTGTCTCCTCTTCATCATGTCGAAATGTTCATCTGTTATCCATTTTTTTTTCTTTGTCTATTTTTCTTTGGGATGATCTCAATTGCTGATGTTACTAATACTTATTCTTGTAGTTTCTTTTCCATGTCTGCCATCAACACCGTGTCATCTGCGTATCTTATGATGTTAAGATTGTGGCCGCCAATGATGAATCCTGGTAGGACTTCTAATTCTCTCAGAATCGCCTCTGGGAAGCACATTCTTGTCTAATTTCTATTTCTCTATATTTACTGAATCCATTTTCTCTCCAGACGGGTTTGAATTCATAGTTGCTCTACTAAGCAGTTGGCCAATCAAGGCTGAAAATTCCACCGATTTAATACACACCTGGGGGGAGATTGACTCACACTTTTCTCGAAGATATTTGCAGAAAAATGAATATAGAAATACTCAACTGGAATTCGAACTCGGCATGTAGATTTCTCGTTCCAAGCTGCTCACTAGTGCACTATCCACGTATTCCTATTTATATACATATTTTCATAGTAAAACGTAAATAATAGAAAGTAAATAGTTGTTATAGAATTTCTGTTTGACTGAAAGACGAGAACGTGCTACCAACATCCACAGGAAGTTATTGAATGTTTATGGAAAGGCTGCACTTGATGTAAGCACAGTAAGGAGGTGCATCAGTTTAGTTAATGGCAATCCTTGAGAGAAAGAACAGACCCCACATATTGCAGGCCAACTGCTGCTGTAAATGAAGATAAGGCCAAAAACAATGACCCCAAACTTTTAAAAGAAGATTCACTATTGATAGATTCCAAGAAAACCTTCAGGTGATCCACAGAAATGTTTACAGTTTAATGCGATCTCGAAGATCTCTGTAAAGTGTGTTCTTATAATGCGGACGGATTTCTTGAAAAAAAAAGTGCCGAGGGTGATCATCTGGAGTTGCACAGCACGCATAAAATTCACAGTAGTTCTTCAATGATGATGAGATGAAATAAGCAAATCGCACGTGGCTAACAAAGCAGCCAGTAATCTTCTATGGGTGGGCGTACAAGCTTTCATTTAAAAAAAAATTGAATTAAGATGGAAAGAGACTCTGCTGAGAGGGAGATTTCGGAACCTTAGGAAGACTTTTCTGTTCATTTAGTATGATCTGGGGTCGTTTCTGTTATTAACTCTGTTGTAATTAAAGAAGAATTGGCATTTCTTTCTGTCACTCATACCACAATTCAGACGGAAGGGGGTGGCTGTATTGAGGACTAGATTTGGTAACCTGAGACTATTGGGCTATCTTTTATTACTATTGTTAACCCAATACAAGGCCCGAGAGCCACTCAACGTAAATGGTTATTGAGTTTGCTGAATGTAGAAAATGGTTGACTCTAGATATAATGAGGTTAATATAGCAGTGATCGCTTGAAACTCTTGACCATGCACCCATTTATTTTCTTTTAATAATTTAATGCTAATTTATTATTTATTTATTTTAGATTTATATAAGTCAGATTAAATGGATGACATTAAAATGATATCATAAACATACTAATTATACACTTTCACAAATCTGCGGGTCTTGGGAAGAAGTTGGCAGAGGGGAACTTCCATATTACCAAAAGAATAAAAAGGGAAATGAGGATGAGTCAACTCTGCGTAGGTGGTATGGTAGGTCTTAGCTATAAATGTTTGAACTGGGACGTGTCTTAGAACAAGCACTACGTTTTTAACCGAATCATTTCACATCTACAAATCTACCATTCGTCCATGCATGGAATATTTTTGCCATATATGGTCTTGTTCCCACGCTGTTCATCTCGAGGTTCTCGACAAAATCCAAAGATGGATATGCAACGTTATAGGTCCTGATTTGGCATCTCGACTCCAGTCACTTTCTCACAGACATGATGTGGCTTCCCTATGTCTGTTCTGCAACTATTTTCATGGCAATTCCTCTGACGGGCTCTTTTCACTGGTGCCCCAACTGCATGAACTTAAACGTGCTACTGGGTTGGCATCTAGGTCCCACTCTTTTCACTGTCCAAACAGTTATATGTAAACGCCTCTTCTACTTCAAAAGCTTCTTCTTCCAGACAGTGAAACTCTCTTCATTTAACTTGCCTCTCTGATAAATATAATCTTCAAAGATTTAAATGTAATGTCAATTGACATCTTCTGGTGCTATGATCCCCCTTCTTCTTTTTATATTTTCCACAATGAAATACCCAGTCTTTTTTCTTTCTGTAACCCCTTACGTACTAATGGCACACCCGCCTTGCTTGGGATGAAATGCTTATATATATATATATATATATATATATATATATATATATATATATGTGTGTGTGTTTTGTGTGTGTGTGTGTGTGTGTGTGTGTGTGTGAAAATATATAGAAAAATAGGAAAGAACCGTTAGCTTAATAATCCGAAGATCTTTAGTACTTTTGTTTTATTTAAAAAAAAACAGTGCTCAATACACAAGTAGAGCCGATATTATTATAATTATTTTTTTTAAATATGATTCCATCGCTACATAAGAGCTCTCATGTTTCAAAAACAGAAGCTAAAATCTTCAATTTAATTTTAGAAATTAAATTAAATTAAAGTAGCTATTTCTGTTTCATCCTCAAGCGAATTTAATCATTATTATTATTATTATTATTATTATTATAGTAATACTCGGTTGGCAAAAACCTCGGATAGCACAACTTGTAAGTCTATCAAATCAAATTGGTACCCGAGGAAAAATATTGGGAAGAAAAAGAAAGAACTAGAAACATCCGAACAGGACGAAATAAATCGTCCAGTGCCTGAAGAAAAAAAACCCCAAAACAAGCGAGTAATAACGCTAAAACGTAGAGTGCTCAATACGCTAAGTAGAGCAGGGATTTTATATATATATATATATATATATATATATATATATATACAAAAACGCTGACATAACCTATAGAAACGATAGTGCCAATAATAAGAAAAACAGGAAAATAAAGATCATCTGGTATACCCCTCCGTACAACCAAATGGTCAGCACCAAACTAGGCCATAATTTCCTAGCTTTAATTGAAAAACACTTTCCCACTAATAGCAAACTTAGCGAGATCTTTAATAAAAACACCTTAAAATTGAGTTACAGCTGCACTGAAGATCTAGAAAGTATCATAAAAAGACATAATAAGAAAATCTTAGAAAAACACGCATACCAAAACAGTAATAAAACTCATAAACTAAAATTAGATAAAAATAACGAAAAATTATGTGATTGTAGAAACCCTAAAAGCTGCCCGTTGGAAAATAAATGCCTCACAAAATCCGTGGTATACCAATGCACTATCTCATCCATTGAGAGTCCTAACACTGATAGGATATACATAGGCTCAACGAAGAATAATTTTAAAATTAGATGGAGGCAACACAAGAGCTCCTTCAACAATATTCAAAATAGAAATCAGATATCTCTACCTCAATATTTCTGGCATCTAAAAGAAACGAATAAAACACCAAAAGTAAAATGGAAAATAGTAAATAAAACAAGAACTTGTAAAACCTGGGATGACCCATGCCCTTTATACCTACACGAAAAACTACACATCATTAAATTTCTAAATAATGAAAAATTATTAAACCATAGGCAGGAGTTAACGATTTTTAGCCGACATCAACAAACTTTCGCATTAAATAATTATCATTAAAAAAAAATTGAAATTCAGTGCAATACGATTTGTATATAAAACACCCACTTGAATAAACAAATAAATAAATAGATAATCAGATGGACAATAATAAAAGACAATTCTCCAGACACATAACGAATTGTAGGCGCACCATAAAAATATCCCTCACTGGGAACCAACTAAAGGGTGACCACAAACATTAGCCTTGAAATAGATACCCTACCCAACCTTAGCAAAACCTCTCAGAAGATGATGAATCTATTGATAAGAATTAACTCTCTGACCACTTAACGAAGAAAAATAGTCTAGCCACTCCCACAATAACGAATTTTGTAACGGATCATGCCTAAAAACACACGTAAACCGAGATAGCTTATTCCTAAAATTTCACTTGAAGATGAAACGGGACTAAACACCTCAATTCAATTTAATTTTAATAATTATTTGGATGGTTTCGGCTCTCATTTTTGAAACATGGGAACTCTTATGTAGCGAAGGAATCATATTTTTAAACAAAAAATATTATTATATATATATATATATATATATATATATATATATATGAAATAACTCCAAAAGAGCCAGGAACAACCTACCTAGGTTTCACTTAAACGGATCTTTAGGAGACTGATATATATATATATATATATATATATATATATATATATATATATATATATATATATATATATATATGTTAAGGCAGTGGAGAACTTTCAGAAGGAAATTAACAGGGGATAACTGATAACTGACATCCATTAAACATGTCACGTGGAACTAGAACAGTCTACCCCAATGAGCGAAATAAACAGTTAACTTCGACATTCCAACCACGAAGGCCGGAGCGTACAACGACCGAAACGTTGTAATAAATATGGCGACAAAGATGAGGACAATAGCCCGAATAATGTAAATAGTATACATAATGCCTCATCTCAGAAATATAGACAGATACTGAAGAAGAATAATGCAGTAGAAAACTAGTTAAAATGCTCCCACTAAAAAGCAATGAAAAAAGGTAGATTAAAAATTATAACAAAACAGATAAAGTTTCCTCTAAAAGAAACGATAGAATATCAAAAACTATTAATAAAATAATAACATTGAAAAGAATCATTTAAAACGCAGTGTAAAACCGGTAATAAAATAATAAAAGTTAAAATGTTTTATCAAAAAGCAACAATAAAAAAGATGCAAGAGAAGTAATAATAAAATAATAAAAATTAAAAAAGCTTAATAAAAAGCAACATTAAACAGATGGAGTAGAAGTAATAATCAAATAATAAACGTAAAAATGCTTAATGAAAAGGCAACAATAAAAAGATGAGAAGTATTATTAAAATAATAAATGTGAAAATGAATAATGAAAAAGCAACTTTAAAATATAGATAAAAATTAATAATAAAATAAAAAAGTGAAAAGTTTCTACGACACACAACGAAAATGTGATGCTTTCAATCTTGTAATAAAATATTTGTAAATATGCTGCATATGAAAAGCAACACTAATTAGATTTTATAGTAAATTAATAAGCCAAAAATCAGCAATAATATGATCGTTTAAACTACTAATAAGATAATATAATTGAAAATTTTTAATCTCATTGCAATAATAACAAAATAAAATCGACAAATGTGCCAAAGCCACCTTCAAAGGCAGTAAACTAACGAAAACTACGGATGTAGACCTTGACATCAACAGCATGATTAAGGAACTAGTCCAAGATGGTACATACAAATACTTAGGAATAAATGAAGGAGGCAGAATACAACATTAAATTATGAAGAAAAAGATCCGAAATGAATATTATAGGAGATTGCGTTTGATACTAGAAACTGAACTTAATGGGGCCAATAAAATGAAGGCTATCAACACCTTAGCTAGACAGGTAGTAACATACAGCTTCAACATTATTAAATGGAAGTTGAATGACATTAAAAGATTGGACGCCAATGCTAGAAAAATGTTTACCCAAATGAGGATGCCCCACTCGAAATCAGATGTTGATAGGCTGTACGTATCAAGAGCTTTAGGAGGCCGAGGTCTAATCTGACTTGAACTAACATTAAAAATTACAATAATCAGCTATCGAAGTATACCTCATAAAACCCAATGACCCTCTCCTACAAATAGTAAAACACCAAATCCACTCCATCAACAAAAAAGCTGCACTTTTCAATAAACTGATTATTGCAGCACAGGACCAAAGCCTTGCAACCAGATCCTATCACTGTCACATAATGAAGGAGGGAACTAACCCGAAATACAAGATCTGCGGAAAATATGTTGAAAATGCCGACCATATTATCTCAGGATGTCCGGAACCAACAAAACATCAATATACCCACAGACATAACAAGGTAGCAACATATGTGCACTGGAAGATATGCAAGAAGCACAAAATGGAAACCACTGACAGATGGCATGATCCCCAACCAGACGCACTTACCCAAAATAACGATGTAACTATCCTCTGGGACATGCTAATTCAAACTGTCAGGGAAATAAACGCCAACAGACCTGACATTATCATAAAAGACAAGAAATCCAGGAAGTACATGCTTAATGACATAGCAATACCATCTGAGAGAAACACCTCCATGAAAATTATCGAGAAATTGCCTTGGAGGTCGAGATTAACAGGATATGGGGAATGAAGACTAAGACTGTACCAATAGTAATCGGTACAGTCTTAGTCTTCATTCCCCATATCCTGTTAATCTCTCACGCCTCCTTCTGTCTTTTCTACACATACTTTCACGGTAACTGCTCCGAATGGCTACTAGTTCCCAGACTGCATGAAATTAAACATGCAACTAGACTAGCATCATGGTCCCACATTTTCACTGTCGAAACGGTTAAATATGGCCGTCTCTTCTGCTCCAATAGCTTCATATCTCGCACCTCTGGTTTGCGGAATTCCCTTCCTATTACTTGTTTCCCTGATAGCTATAATCTTCAACTATTCAAATGTAATGCCAATCGACATCTCCAGATGCCCTGATCTATTCCCTGTCCTTCTTATCATCCTTTCCTCCATCACGCCTCTTTACTCTCGTTCCCACTCTGTAACCCCTTGCATACTAGTGGCATCCCGCCTTGTATGGGGTGAAATGCTTAAAAAAAAGAAAAAGCTACATTATATTTAACACCTGTTGTCAAGAATTACCGATTTAACGTTTGGCGGCGTACAATCGTGTCTCATGGGCAGGAGGAAATCTTTATCCTTGCTCGGTGACCCTCCTAGAGATGGTAGCTCGATAAAAGGTGGGTTATCAAAAACTGGAATTGGAAGAAATCAAAAGAAAGGTTGAACTGGAGAAAGAGGAAATGATTTTAACTCACCTGTAGAAGAGATTCCTGGACGTGATGAAGATGGAGAAGGCGTTTACTTGAGAGATTATCGAAATTGTAGAGGATGACAGTGTCGAGGAGATGAAATAAGAAGAACTTTCCAGAAGATTTTTTTTGGCTTTTCAACTGGTGAAAGTGAAGGTGGTTTAGGGTTGAAGGAAGGTAAAGCCCTTGAAGATGATGAGAGATATTTTAAAAAAATAATGCATTGTAATAAATAACTATTACTGGCATAGAAAGGAGTTCAGAAACATAACCTAGAAAATATATACACTATTGGAGAAGGTACAGGTGTCCAATATCACACAGATCAATGATTTAATTTAGGCTGGCGTAGCACTAGTGACTGAGCTCATAGGAATAAAGACGTCACCTTGGAATCAGAAGAGTCCATGTTGGAAAAAGGCGTTTATCAGCTGAACCAGAATCTTGGCAATATAAACAGAATAGGAGAATGTTAAAAAGTAACATAGAGATAAAGACGATAGAAATTCAAGAGAAAGCAACTAACTGTTGTGAGAGAAGAAATACAACATAGAACGAAAGCAAGGAGTGGCAAGATAAAACAATGCCAGCTGGGAATCAATCACTTCCAGTAGAATAGGACATTTATCAACAACCAAGATGTTCAGAGACTTGAACAACGGTGGAACTATTGCGGAATGTTACGCACCCGATCCAAATAAAGTACAAAGATTTCAGAAGAACTTTTAGAGAAAGAAGAAATGAAGAAAGACGCAGAATGGATTCAAATGTCAACAAATGACGGAATAAAATGATCATGAAAATAATGATGAAGATAGCAAGTTGGAAAGCATCTGATCCTGCTTAAGTAATCAAACATTAAGAGCTTCCAAAATATGTAAGACAATCTAAAAGAGAACGTGTATTTTGTGGATAATCGTAATCTTCCATAGTGGATGACACTTGGTTGGACTACTAATGCAGAAATCTAGCAAGAAACTATCGACCAATAACATGCCTACAATTAGATTTGACGCAGGGAGATTTATATTCATTTCAGGGATCAGTCATTACTTCCTGAGCAACAAAAGGGTACAGGAAAGACTTAAGAAGTACCAATGAGGCAAAAATAAGAAGGGAGAATTTATCCAAGGCAAGGATAGGCTAAAAGAAATCCTATAGTATAGTGACACATTACTGGATTCTAAACTGCTTTGATATTCTGAGAATTTTGCATCAAATTAAATCGTTTTTGGAAGACATATTCGATAATGAAGGGAAGTTGATAAGTCAGTAGTACAAGTAGACATGGAAAGAATTATTTTCGAAGGGGACATATTTATTACTACTCAGTTACTGACCAACTCATTTGCACTGAGACCAATTACACACTGCCCGGGCAAGGTTACTGAATTCACATTTGTAACCACAGTAATGATAATACATTTATTTAAACGGATCTATCTATCTATCTATCTATCTATCTATCTATCTATCTATCAGGGCTTCTGATGGGGAAGTTTTGAGGAGCGTGGAGCCGTCTCTTGGTTGCTGATGTTCATGGGTCCACTCTGGGCCGTGGTGGTGGCAGTTGTTGAGGTTCCAACTTTGGGTAAATGGTTGACCCCACCCTAGGGCCAAGGTGATATGAAAGTGTAAAAATAGGTATTAATAACAAAAATATTTTGTAAAAATTATTACGAGCAATATATTTTTGAAAAAAAAAAAAAAATTAACAGTTATAAATAATATGTATATTCATATATATATATATATATATATATATATATATATATATATATGGGATAAAGATAAAATTTTTTTTCATATTAAGAAAAATTTTAGAAAAAAGAAATATGGAAAAGTCGAAAAAGCTCGCGTTCGACGCGTGTCGTCACTTAGTACATCGAGGAAGGCCTAAGGGACGACATATCCTTATATATATATATATATATATATATATATATATATATATATATATATATATGTATACAAATGAAAAGAGAACCAACCAAATATAAATTCAAACCTTCATAGCATTAACTTAAAAATAAGGCTCAATACAACAGATCCTAAAGATTATATATATATATATATATATATATATATATATATATATATATATATATATATATATATATATATAATCTTTAGGATTTGTAGGTCTGATGAATTGGATCGTATTTACGATTCCAATGGAATAAATTATGACCATGGCATATTAGTGTTTAAGCCTTTTTATTATATCCTTACTCTGTCCAGGACATTGAGTTCGACCTGGATTCTATCCTCTTGGAATTTTTTTATACAAAATATATATGTATGGGTCTGCATGTATGTATATATATTTGCATATGTATGCGTATATTTACCACTAATATTATCTATCTATCTATCTATCTATCTATCTATCTATATATATATATATATATATATATATATATATATATATATATATATATATACATATTTGTCCTCATATATATATATATATATATATATATATATATATATATATATATATATATATATATATATATATATATATATATATATATATATATAATCGTACGTGGTGCTAATAAAATATTTCTCGATGCATAATAAAAGACATATAATTTTGATTAGTAAAAAATTGCATCGTGCATGTAAATCACATTGGTTTATTATTACTACACACACACACACACACATATATATATATATATATATATATATATATATATTTATATATATATTTTTTTTATAGCCATTGCGGTGTTGAGTATTTTTTTTCAAACAACGCAGATGTTTTCAAATCTTTTTCTTTTTTCTCTGTTACCAGTTTGTTTAAATATATTTTTATTTGTAAATTATACTAACCGATTTTTTCACACCAGACTAGTATAGTTATTGAAATAATATAATAATATATATATATATATATATATATATATATATATATATATATATATACATATTGTATTCTTGGTTACCGCATTCAAACAGCCATATGAAATAACGATATAAGATTTCATATCAAAGAACAATATTAGGAGATTATATGATAAAGTGTCATATATATATATATATATATATATATATATATATATATATATATATATATATATATATATATATATATATATATATATATATATATATAAACTCAAAAGAGACATTGGGTGTTCACTCTAACGAAACTAAACACAATTTTGAAAATAAATATGCTACTAAAATTAAAAGAGAAAAGACGAACAAAAAATCTTTAAAAAAATTTGAAAATACCAGCATCTCTCGTTATGTGTAGCAACAACAACGTCAACAAACCCAGTCTGATGTAGTTATAACTGGCCAATCGTCTGACTGAAAGTGATGATGTTGAACGTAGAACATTCTACATTCAACACCATCACTTGATAAGTCACATGAAGTGCTGAAATAAAATGGCTTTATTTGTAGTGATTTTATAACATATTTATGTTCAAATTTAGGAATAAATTCTTTTTGCTCTACTCCGTAATGAGCACTCTTTTAAGGATAGTATTTTTTGTTATTGGATTTTATTCCGTGTTCACCTATCTTATACTTGTGTGAAAATATATACATATATATATATATGTGTGTGTGTGTGTGTGTGTGTGTGTGTGTGTGTGTACCACTCGATCACTTTCCGATCATGAGACCGACCACGAGAGCTGAGTTCGAATCAGACTATGGTTGATTCATCAGGTAGGTGATGTTGTCGGCCTGTGGGAGGCGATCCCAGCGTGCGGTGTCTTTCGAAAGTGCATCAAAATCAATCAAGGGGTTGACACACAACTTGTGGGTGAAATTGGGTAGACGGAATTTTGAATTGTTTGATCGTGCTGGACTTATACAAACTGTTGATCGCGCCAGTTAATAGGCTTTCTCCCAGAAACTGCAACTAAGTTAACATAGTTGCAGTATAAAACCATTGGTAGCTATGTGCGTGTCGAATAAACAAAAATGTACCTGAGCAGGCGTCTGCAGTAGGATTTTGCTAGTCACCCTAGCAGATGGGCATACTCGGATACGAGCGGCCAGCCATTAGATTACTATATATATATATATATTGAACAATAAAAAATATTAAAAAATTAAAATCTTAAGACACACTGGGTTGTATATTAATATTCCTTTGTTTTTTTTATTATTTCATTTAGATTCCTCGACTAGTTTCGGCCAACATGGCCATCATCAGGAGAAAAATAATTTTCTGCTTGTTGGTAGCAGCGAACTCCAGAAATGAATGTCTTGATAGAAAAAATGAAGTTTTGTCTGTTGTTTTCATTTATATTTTTTATTTTTTAACATGAATTTTGGCAAGAGTCTCTTTTAATTTGTTATTTAAGATAAGAGCTGAATGGATTCATGCTGCTCTGAATTCCCTTGGTCATTTTGACAGTTTTATTGGTTCCTGGAAAGAGGATGTGTCTCTGTTAAGTGTGTGTGTTTTATTTGGTTCTTAGGGAAGGAGTAAGTATGATGTGTGTAAGCGTGTATATTACTAAGGGTATGTGTTATCCTTTGGCTCATTAGGGAGTGAGTGAGTATGATGTGTGTAAGTGTGTATATTAATGTGGGTGTATGCATAAGTGTAAGGCCTCAACACCTCCGTAAGCATGTCTGTCTTGTGTGGGTGAGAAATGTGGGTAGGTTTTGATTTGTAAGATTATATATTAATACTATCTATATTGTTAAATTTATGGTTAAGCTCGGCTGGATAGTGCGTTTTTAAACGATGTATCCACTTATTTTCATGGAACTCTAAAATCTTTCTAATGTTATCTGCTCTGGATTTTTTTCCATTAGTCATAGATCGATTATTATACATGGTAATTTCCAGATCAAACTGCATAAATTTAATGAATCAGACCTGGATATGGAAATATATTTAATTTCATATTGTAGCCATTAGTTCATCAGATCGGTATATATATATATATATATATATATATATATATATATATATATATTAGCACTTATAACATTTCCGGATCCAAAGAACCTTTCAAACAAGAAATCCGAAGTCTTAAGTCCTTGGTTACATATTAGAAAATTCCTCTTGAACATGTATGAGGCTGCATAAAATAAATTATGTACATTTCAATTACCCCCCGCCACAGATACATTTAAAATACACTTGCTTTTTTTCTCTTCCCTTTCTTCTTCTTCTTCTTATTATTATTATTATTATTATTTACATTATTATTTTTAAATAGAGCATTAAGAGGTCATTTGCTAAAAATCGCCTGAGGAAGTCGTAAGTTTGAAACCAAGGTAGCTGATTCAACAGACTTCCTAATTTCATATATATATATATATATATATATATATATATATATATATATATATATATATATTATCTCTCACCGTTACGCAATTTGAATTATAATATGTCTTGTTATTACAATGTCGGCGTGCTTATATATTATGCTGGGATTACTGATTTTTAAAATTTAAAATATATATTTGGCAAATAAATAAGCTGGATTTACATATATCTAAAAAAAAAGAATATTAAAAGAAAATGTAATGTCCAAATAAATATCAGAAGAATTTTTGTAAATTTAATTTATAAAATCTTTAATCATTCACCAACATAAAAAAAAAGAGTTTTTAACAAAAATAATGTTAATGTCAGCTATAACTGCGTTAATAACATAGACACATCCATTTCCCATCATAACAATGTTATATCAAACAAACATATTTCCAAGAAAGACAACGTAAATGCTTTTAAAAATAAATGCAGCTGAATGTGATCTATCTCTTAAGCGGTCAATGTATGACCGATAATATTGTATACCGAGCGAGAATACCTTCCGGTAATGATGTTAAATTTTATATGGGTCCCGCGGAAAATCCTTGGATATTTTATTTTTACCACCATCGAATGACAAATACTTTCATGGTAATTGCTCCGAGGAGCTGCATTCGCTGGTTCCCAGACTTCATGAGTTCAAGCGCTCTTCGAGGCTAGCATCCCGCTTTCACCCTTTTACTGTCGAAACTCCTAAATGTAGCCGTCTCTTCTACTCTAATAGCTTCATGTCTCGCACCTCTCGCCTGTGGAACTCCCTTCCCTATTCCAGTTTCCCTGAGAGCTATAATCTCCAGCTATTCAAGTGTAATGTTAATCAACATCTCCAGTTGCCTTGATCTATCCACTATCCTTCTCCTCATACCCTCTTCTATCACTCCTATCTGATCTCGCTCTATATTTTCTGTAACCCTTTGCGTCCTAGTGGCTTCCCACCTTGCTTGGGGTGAAATGCTTAAAAAAAAAAAAAGTGATTTAAAGTAAAAAATCATCAAATATTTCTAGCAATTAAAGAATGATCACATCTCACCATCATTCTACTGGGGAATTATTTCTAGAGCTAAAGCTTATAACAGTAAAGGATATGAATGTAATTTGTGTCTTGTTGAAAAATTGGTTATCATAAAACATTTTAATAACCCTAACTTATTAAAAAAGAGAAATTAATTGATGGTTACATGTAGAC